CATTTATCATTTTGTTCAAAATTAGAGTAAACTAGCCATGCATGGCACAGTCACCCTTTATTATCATATTTTTGTAATAAAAACAAAATGACCACTGGTCGGCCGTTTTGAATTGGAACATCAAACATGATGTAGAATGAATATATAAAATTTGACTAATTATGTTCAGAGATGTCGCTCTAGAACCGCATTCATTTAATCCAAATGATCATCAGTCGGCCAAAAACAAAATAATGTACATCAAGGACCCATAATGTATGTACCAACAATATCCATCCACAAACGGCAGAGATGCGGGTCTGGAATGCCAGAAATGCTTGATTTTTTTTAGCACAAAAGTTACCACCATTCAAGCAATACATCTGTGACATGATGTATAATGAATATATAAAATTTGAACATGATCAATCAAAGCATGTCAGATGTGGCACTAGAACCACATTCATTGAAACAAAATGGCTGCCAGTCGGCCATTTTGCACCAGATCTGGAAAGCAAAATGACATGAATCAAGGTGATGTATGTGTGAAGTTTGAATGCAACTGCATCCGAACTGGGACTAAAAAAAACAGTTATATCATATACTAGTCATTCTTAGAAGATCACTAAATGCATTAGGGACCGGATTCACTGGGCTTTGATTTTGCTATTTTTGGGAAAATGTAAAATCTGCTAGATAAAATGTGTGTGAACATATAAAATTACAATATAACCCTGGAAAATTTGTGAATATGCTCAAAATATAAAAATAGTGAAATTAAATGGCTGTGAAAAATAAATGGTCACTGTTGATACGGGTCCCATACAGTGTATTAATGCATGTAAAATAGTGTTTACACTTATTTAAATGTACTGAGAATTGTAAGTTTACTACATCACCTACCAGAAAATCTGTGGAAATAATAAATAAAATTTATTACTTGTTGGGCTTAATCACAGATTACAGCGCCAAACGGAAACGGTCAGATAATATTCCTGGGTTCAAAGGGGACCACCCTAAGTAACATTCTCGACTAAGGGGTCACTCCCAGGGCGATCACACACTCGAAGTCTGTAGGAGGTGGTATGCAGCCCCTCTGTGGGGCGCAGCTACCACTCCCTCAGCAAGAAGGGTGCTTTATTGTCTCGTCCCCTCCTTGTCGGGACAATCACAGGCTACCCAGCCAACCAGAGCCTAGCTGACTCTTACTAATACTAGTATGCAGTTAAGAACGCAGATTGGGAACCGGGCAGTGCTTGGTGCGAGACTTTTGTTCTGTGCGTGGCCAGTGGTAATCACCTGTTCGCCAACTCCCCTGGGCACCTCGTGTGACCCAGGCTATGGAGGGGGCTCAGAGGGTGATTGGTACCCTTCGGGAGAAAAGGACAAGAAGACTGATCCTAAATTTGGCTTGGTCATTCCCATGCCTTCCGTTGGGGGGAACCGATACCCCATCAAGGCTACGCGAGTGGTTTTGGTCAAGCAGGAGGCAGTTCTGAGTCAGTGTGCCTATCCTACTCCAGCAGGAGACGAGTTTGGTCGCCTGCAGAGTAGGCCTTTGGGTGCGACCTGCTTTTTTGTGGCCAGTTAACTGATGCAGTGAACGGTTTGATGGTTGCTGAGGATCAAGTATCCAATTGAAGCAATCATTGGCCAAGGTAGCTAGTGCTTCTGGCCAGAGGCTCAAATCAAAATCGCAGGGCGGCTCAGGCAATGAGTCCACTGCTCTGGACCAGAACCAGTGAGGATCAAAGTACTCATGGTCTCCTTCTAAGGGGCAGAAGAAGACTAGTAGCGGGAAGTGTCAGAAGAAGCCCAAAAACATGGCTCTGGTGGTGGGCGTTCTGCTGCTTCTGGGGACCAGGTATCAGGGAGCCGTGAAGTCTCTTTGAAAGTTTGCCGGCTACCTTGGCATGGATGGTGGTATGACTCCAGAGTCAGCAGGCTCGGTCTTCGTCATTTCTTTGCTGGAGGCTGGAGTTCGAGGAGCTCTAGTTCCGAACCCATGTCTGTTCTTTCCCATAGGATCGCGTCTCAAGCAGCACACATCAGCTTGGCGCAGGAGAGTTTCCGCCCCCTGGACACTCGTAGTAGTGTCTCTGAAGATACCGGATTCCTTTTCGGTGGTCTCCTCCTCTGACTCCTCATCCTCCCTCTGGTCTTCTGCCGAGGGCCGAAGTTGAGGCGAAGACAGTCCAGCAGGAAGTAGTCAGCCTTCTGGAGAAAAGGGTGATACACCTAGTGGAGAACCCCCATTTAGTTCCAGGATTCTATTCCCACATCTTTCTTGTTCCCAAGAGTTTGGGGGTGGCCTCCGGTCCTAGACCTCCGCCGGGTTTATGGAGCTTAATCGCTTCCGGATGGAAACGTAAGCTTTGGTCGATTGACGCAAACACTCCTCTACTTTTTAATAAATATTCCCAAGTCCAACCCAATACCGTCCC